GGGCCAGCGTGAGTGGGGTGGGGGAGCACGTAGTCGGATAGATCCGGTACATGAACGTGATCCTTTTCCTTTGCCATCTTATGCTTATGTTGCTCTACCAATCTGACTGCGGGGTTAGTGCTTGTATGTGTTTTTAAAACAAAAACAAAGCCTGAATAGCTTCTTATAAAGAAATGCATGCTAAGGGGTCCATTGAATGCAGGTGTTTTTGTTCTGCGACATCAGTTCGGCAGAATTTATTAAGCCTTTTCTGTGCTCCTCCCTGCATCTGCAGCCAGGTTTTCCAAACATCTTATAAGTCCATGCTAGCTTTTTCACCTTGTCTATATTTCATGGCATAATTCCTTAGTGTAAATATGTATTACTGTGCAAAGAATGATTTTGTTGTGGCATATGGTTTTCATAGTGCATTAAATGTTACGCTTCTGAGACACACAGTATGTCACTTAAATTCTGGAATATCTTTCTTATTTTGAAGCGCTTCAGTTGGTAATTCGAGAGTGGATTGTCTGGGGCTTCACTACTATGTAAGGAAGTGGGATGATACTCCAATTGGGTTTTGTTTTAAAGATAAAACATGGGGAGTTTGTTTACTAGTTCTTTTGTGTCTTTGTACTTACTGGAGCAATTCCTCAATTATGTTTGAAAGATAGGTACAGTTTCAAACTCTTGTGATTTGTCTTCCTTGATTTTTTTAAAAATTATTTAATTGGTGCACAAACTTTTGAGACTTGGAGCAGATTGAAAAGGGGCAACTGGGTGTGTAAATCAAGATTTCCAAAAGTTAATAATTAATCTTTTGCAGAACAAAGTTCTGCAATATTGTAGAGAGTAATATGTAGGTGACATAAGCTTGAAGTCATCTGAAGTTTTCCAAAAGAAGTTTTGGCTCTGAGGTCTCTTTTGCCCTAGGGTATGCGAGAGCCTATTCAGACTGACTTCGAAGCAATATTGATGATGGCTCTGCTTTCCTTCGCGCCCCTGTTGTGCACTCAAGTACTGTACAGTACTACATGATTGTCTACCTGATTGTCTAGCAATGACTAAGTGCTGAATATTTATCCAGACATTTTATGCTGCTAACCTAGTAACAAGCACTACTCTGGGCAATTAAAATAGTAAATGTAAACTACCCTGACCTCACCACCACCAGAAAAATCCATAGTAAACAACAATTATAAAAATGAAAATCAAAATCCCAACTAGTTCCTTAGAGGTGCATATATTCTGCAGTTGGTTCCAACTTCCCTCTGGTTTTAGAGCAAATTGACATGTTCTGATTTACCACGCTGTTCAGTTTGCTTAATAGGGTTTAATATTTAGAGAATAGGAGTGCAGCTTTAGAAAACCAAATATTTTATTTTTTTTCTTACAGACTCTTGGGCAAATTTCCCGAAAAGCCATAAGTGCTGCTCCTAGAAGACAAATTGCTAATAAGGTGAAAGAGAAGCAGCAAGCTTTCCAGGTAGGTTGTATTATTACTTTAGCAGCAGATTAAAGTGTATTATTTGCTCCTTTTCAAAGAGACATGAATTGAATGAAGATGTTTAGCTGCATGGTCATTTTGCATTGCTTAAGATTATAAGATTGTATCGTCTAATTGGTTTGTGATAGCTGCTAATCTTAGGTGAATATTTTGAAATCTGGTAACATATTGTTATTAACTATTTTGCTTATAGTTTATTTGATTAAAGTACTTATTAAAACAAAAGTTTACTTCCTCTGCATTAAAGCACTATTGCTAATTTAGGGTCATATTACAAAATATTATAAGTGCAAAGCAACTCTCCTTCAAAGTTAAGCAAGTTATGTTAGGCTAGCATTTGACGAGTCAAAAACTGTTGCTTAGGTTAAGCTGTCTTTTAGTGTATTCAGATATAAAAAAGAAACTAAACTTTTTTAAAAAATGACAGATTGTCTAACTGTACAGTTACACAGTTAAAGAGCCTGAAAGTATAGCAAGGAAGGGCAGCATGTGGCCCTCCAGATTATGTTAAACTGTACCTGAAGTGTCACTGTGAGCTATGCAGCCTAAGACTGATGGGAATTAAACTTTAAAGTCGATGGATGCTGCATGTTTCCAACCCCAGATGTACAGTGTGTGGTTATACCTGTACACTTGCATTCTCAGTTAAAATTTTTAATTGTAGCATTCAGCCTTAAATAACTGGCGAGGATCAAGATACGAAATAATGCATATATTACTTTGACCTTCAAAACTGGTACAGCCTCTTATATTTTTAAATATCACCAGAGAGGGTTTAATTCTTTATCTAGTGTTGGATAAAATAGTATCTGTAGAGATAGAACTTGCATGTGAATTTGTGTCTTTGTCTTTGACATTAGAAAGATGATGACCTTCCAGTGCATTTAAAAGGTGGACTTTCAGATGTGCTGTTGTATCGATTCACCTTGCTCCTTTGCGTGTTTGGTAAGGTTCAACAAAGTAGCTGATCTGCCAGTTTTCTTTGGCAACATGTTTATGTTAATAAAATGTGCACTTTTCATGTATAACTCCAAAACAGAAACACATGGGAGTTCTTTCCCTGATTTTTCCTTATGCAAATGCAACTTTGTTTTATCTTTCATATGATTACAGTGGGCCCTCGACTTACGAACTTAATCCGTTCTCGAAGTCCGTTCGCAAGTCGAAACCAATTTTCCCATAGGAATGCATTGAAAACCATTTAATCCATTCCAACTGTTTTTGGTTCTTAAGTTGAGGGGCAATTCGCAAATCGATTCATTAGTTCCCATAGGAACTAATGCAAAGCTGCTTAATCCGTTCCTACCACTATGGACAGATTTTTTCTTTTTTCCCTTTTTTTGGTTCGTAACTCGATTCCGCGTTTGCAGGTAGGGTCTATAGTTTCCTATGAAATTGGGTTCGTAACCCGAAATGTTCACAACTAGGGCCATTCGTAAGTCGAGGGCCCACTGTACCTGCTTATCCATTGAACTAATTGGCTGACATGGTAATTGAGCATACCAAATTTTTCCCATGGGATAAACTTTCCATGACTTTTACTACTTTTACTTCTCTTACATACAAGTACCTGAACACATTCTTCAAGTCTGTTCTTAAAATTGGTTGCAGAAAAACTTGCATAAAAGTATGAATGGAAGATGTTGTAAAGATGATTTAAACATGTATTTTTCTCTAGTTTCTCTAATGAGCACTTATTTAGTCTAAACATTTTCCAAAACTCACAGAAGACCTCAAGGACTAATTTTATTTGGTTGGTAAAAGTAAGAGTTTAGATTATAGTTTTTCATTCATGATTGGCTATGTTATCTAACTTGTTATTTTTAGTATTTGGCTGAATTTCTTAAAGCTCTGGAAAATACTGTACTTTAAATTATTTTCTGAAACTTAAGAACTCATGAATGATAGCTGAAATAAAAATGTGGCTTCTAGGAATAGCAAAGCATGGTCCACTTGAAAATGCTGAGCTTTTTAAAATTTTGAAGATATAGGAGGATAATATACTGCAGATTTCAGTTTCTGCCATACTCAACTTCTTACATCCTTGGAAATTTTTCCAGTGCTGTGTAACTTTTTATAGTCATCATGTGCCATGAGGATCTCTAAAAATGGAAAAAAATAATGGAATGAAGGGTTTTCTGTGTTTTGTTTTAATCTAAAGGTTAAAAGTGACATTAACACATTGTGTTTGATTAATAGAGCAGAAGGGCAGAGAGGTGATACTGACCAGAACTTGAAGTTGGATGAAATTTGTGCTTGCTTTTCCTTAATATTGTTTTTCTTTTTCCTGTTTTTTTTTATTTAGGAGTAGGCTCTATGATCAGAGATTTCTCCAGGTTCTCAAAAAGCTAATTCCAGGATACATCTTGAAGTAGCATATCTCTTTCCCATCCCATTGTACTCTTCAAGGACCTATTTTGTCCTTGTCTTACAAAATTGTGTGTTTGGGATGTATATTTATTGAGATAAGATGTTATACACTGCAATCAATAAAATAATTTTAGATTGCTTTCTGGTCGTGTGGATATATATAATATACTTTAATCTGTTGAAAGAGTTTTAGTTTTATTCAAAGCATGACAGATAGGTTTCACTGCAGTTCATAGTGCTTGTTAACATCAAATAGCTGAAAATGGAAAAAGTAAGTAATAGTGAAGGAATGCAGCATTTTAATCTTAGTATTGTCCTAAATGCTAACTTCTGTTTGCAACATTTTTAGCCCTTTGAAGCTTAGGAAGCAGAAACTATTTAACTAATACATTTCAGATTCTATCTTTGACAGAGTTCAGTTTCTGTACCCATGTGGCTTATAACCATACTTAGCAATTCGTTGTTTCAGAGGTCTTGCCAAAAGATATTGAAGTTCCTTGTCCATGAGATAAAGTTATGTCTCATGGATATGGTGCTGATCTTAACTTAGAGCTTTATAAGTTATGATCAGCACCTTAGGTTGAGCATGGAAAATAATGAAGAGCCAATGAAGACATGCGAAGACTGGCAGTATGTGTCCCCAGTTTCAGTTTGTTGGCCCTTGTTCAGTGCATTATTGATGCGAGACCATCCTCAAGGACATGCAGAGCATCACCTGCAAATGAAGAGGAGAGCGATAGCTATATGTCATCTACATATTGATGGCAATGGATTCCCATGTTTATGAATCTTTTTCCAGTGACTTCATATACGTATTACAAAGCACTGAGGGGGTTATCGTTCCCTCTGGGGCCTCATAACAGGTCCCAAGGGCTCGACAATGCTTTCTCAAGTGGTACCATCTGGGATTGAACCTCAAGGCAGGATTGGAACCACCAAAGAATGGAGCCTCCAAGTCTCAAACCTCATAGCCATCTTAGAAGGATAACACGGTTGACAAGAGTTGGAGGCAACAGAAAAATCTAGGAGGACTAGCAGGGTTACACTCTGAGGAAGGGCCTTTCTTCCTCAGGAGACCTGGCAGGGTGATCAATGTCATTTCAGTCCCATGATGCAGCCTGAACCTCGATTAAAATGCATCTAGACTGGTTCCTCCAAGAAAAGTGGCAGCTCAACTTGCCCAGGAATGGAATGTTGGTAATGAGTCTCTAGTTGTTAAGATCATCCAATGTTAAATTGGACTTCTTTGGAATGGATCTAATATTGGTTTCTGTTAAATGGGAACATAGATAGTTTTGCTGGGTGTAGCTGATGAGAAATGAGTGCACCAACAGCTGAAGAAGCAAAGGTTCCACTCTCCTTGTCTGTAGCATTCTTGCTGGGAGAAATGTGGCATAAGAATAATAAGAATTAATAATAATAATGGAGGTAAGAAAAGAAAATCTGCCAAATATTCCTTTGACATCCTGTGATGGGAGAAAAATAGTGACTTGGAGCCAGTTCTGAGATAAATTGTAGCCCTATCCAAATACATGGAAGTGAGTCCTGTGTTAAATGAGTCTTTGTGTAACAGCTTTTTGAATGGGCTTGTGAAACTTTTCCTTGTGTGACAAGCAGTTGAAACACTGCCACCTGGTGGCGCTGTTAAATGTTTATGCTTGCAACATTCTTCCAAGTACCTACCTAGTGAGCTTAATTGCTTTAAGGGATTGAAAGTAGAATATTATGGTCCTGTTTAAAGGAAGGGGCTAATGATACTATGTCACATTAAGTTTTTTTAAAAATAACCTCTGTATAAAATGAGTAATGGCTATGAAAACTGAGAGGATACTTTTCTACTGTTTCATTTGTTTTAATACTGTTATTTCTCACAAGGTGTGACATGTCTAAGAAAAATATATCTCAACCTGCATAACTGTTAGAGTCAGACACTTGAAATTATGCAAGGCCCTATCAGATAAAAATGATCAGATAACACATGATTCATTACTGTGAGGGAGATTCCTTTGTGAGTGGGACCAGAGTCTGGCTAGGCATACCTGTGTTGTACATTGGTTCATGTATATGCTTGTAGAGTCTTACTGTTTTCTAGGAAAAAAACTCTTGAGACAATAGTTTTCCTTCTGCTTAACATATTCTTTCACAATTTTTCTCTGCCTATATGTGTCTGTGTTTAGCCTTCTGTATAAGCACTTGACACTGTAGACTGAAATGGATGCAAGAGACTCTTAAAAGCACGTTAATGTTGCAAAAAGGTAATTGAGGTACTCTGTTGATGTTTGTAAAATCAGGCTTCAAAGGATAATCTGGTGCTTAATCATCAAACCTATCCACATAATTTTGGATATGAGAAGTTTATAGTGTGACACTGACACCTAAGTTAATAAAAATTACTCCCATCTAATTAATGGGCTAGCTCTAATGCATCTTTCTGGCCCTAAGGTGCTTTAAGATGATGACATTCTTGGAGGCTGCTTCAGTGGGGCTGTTTTCATGAAGTCGTGCTTCCAACACAAGCTAGCCACATACATCCATGGTCATGAAGACAGCTGTTATACTGCTTGCCCTTCTTCTCGCTACTGGTGCTGTTTTTAAACTTATCACAAATACTGTACTTCAATACTGTTTAGTTATGCCTCCCTTTGTATTTCCCCAGGCTCCCACAAGCTAAATAACCCTAGAGGTTAGGTTTCTTCACAGGAGTTACTACAGCCCTCAAAATTTTTTAATTACCTTTCTCTGTATCTTTCTAGCTCTAATTTTTTTCAGGTGCAGTGACCAGAGCTGTATACAGTATTCCAAGTCTGATTGCACCATAAAGGTGAATTATTTGGGATTCCTTTCTTAATGATCCCAAACATGCAAGTTGCCTTTTCTGTGGAGCCATGCAACTTTCTCAGTTAACTGTACATTGTGAACCTTCCTGGCTAGTTACAGCCAGCTCAGACCTCATACTCTTTAGCCCCAGGTTACATTACTTTACATTGGCTTAACTAATTTGCTGCTTTAATGCCCCTTTCCTCAGTGTGAAGATGTTCTTGAGCTTTGTAGTAGACATGGGCACTTTGTATTCATATCCCTTGGGATACAGATCTGGAGTGCAGCACCACGGAAGTTTGTTCTCTCATCCCAAAATTAGTTCAGCTGGCTGGTCACCACACGGTGCATGCATTCATCGTCATCAACGTTGTTAATCGTGGAAGTAGTCTGGCTGGTGCCTCTCCGAACAGCTGGCTGCCCAACAGCTGAGTGGGGAAATTCCTCCGTGAAGACGGACATATTTCTGAATAAATATGTATGGGGCCTATAAAGCACATGAAGTTGGCAATCAATGATCAGCACAAGGAAAAGTATTCCCCTCTCCCACTGCAATCTTCTGTGACATGCCTGAGCCAATGTTGTAGGAGCAGCAATAGGAAGAAGAGATTCCCTCCTCCCCAGTTCTACTAACAGAATGAGAACCATCAGTGGAACCGCACCTTGGGATTCTGGTCTAGGACTACACTTCATAACCCACGGAGAGTAACGGAATGAGACCTGGCCACAACCTTTTCTACACTGTGTCTTTGCTTTATGCAGCTTTGATGCTGAATGCAGCTATAGGTATACCTGGATGATACCTTGGTAAAAATATTTATTGCTTAGCAGGGGTTAATGTGCTCAAATCAAAGCCAGAAATAAGGAGTTGTATCACATGTTTCAGTGGCAATCAAGGCAGAACATTGTTGTTCCACTTTCAGCCATCTGAGTCACCTGAAAATCCCGTTCGCTTTATGCAGCTTTGATGCTGAATGCAGCTATAGGTATACCTGGATGATACCTTGGTAAAAATATTTATTGCTTAGCAGGGGTTAATGTGCTCAAATCAAAGCCAGAAATAAGGAGTTGTATCACATGTTTCAGTGGCAATCAAGGCAGAACATTGTTGTTCCACTTTCAGCCATCTGAGTCACCTGAAAATCCCGTTCGGAAGTTTCCAAGCCTCTTCTAGGTGTTGAAGATGGGTGGGTGGGTGGGTGTTTGGGTGGGGCGTTGCAGAGGGGTAAACACCCCCCTAGTTGTGCTGGATCCTGCCATTCTGTCAATGGTATATCGGCACTGCAAAGTGTCCTAGATCACTGGTTCTTAACCTTGGGTTACTCAGGTGTTTTTGGACTGCAACTCCCAGAAGCCTTCACCACCAGCTGTGCTGGCTGGGGTTTCTGGGAGTTGCAGTTCAAAAACACCTGAGTAACAAAGGTTAAGAACCACTGTCCTAGATGAAGTGGAAAATTGGAAAGGAACTGATATTTTCTTTGCTTCTGAGTTCTAATTCTTCAGAAAACGTATCTTTTGAGTCATCCAAGACACTGAGCTTGTTCTTGTCTGGTTTTTATTCAGATCTTTGTGTTGCAATATAGCTTTGAATATTTGCAGCTTTGGAATCTCACCAGTGTATTTCGGACTGACAGAGCAAACCTGTCAGGCAGATTAGTTCTCCTTAAATACATTCAACTCAAAATGTTTGAGGGCCCTCAGCCTCAGAGAAAAGAAGGATAAACAAATCCAAGTAAGAACATGTCACTTGTGGGAAATCAGACCAATGTTGCTCAGATCTGATGTGTAAAGTGATCAGCAAGAAACATCTAAAGAGAGACAGGTATTTGGAGATGGAAACAAGAGGTAAGAATTGTTGCAGCAAACACACCAGGAAAGTAAGCATGGTCATCAAACCATACAGCCAATCAAGATACAGTAAAGGGTCATCATAGTAAAGTACAGTGGTACCTCGACTGGCGAAGTTAATCCGTTTTGGAACGACATACTTACATCGAAAAGTTCATAAGTCGAAGCACCATTTCCCATTGAAATGCATGGGAACTGAATTAATCCATTCCAGCATTTCAAAAGGCAAAAAGGCAGCGGGAAAGGGCTGGAAATCCGAATTTCCTGCCCTTTCTCCCTACCTTTTTTCCTTTGGAGCTCTCAAAGGGCTTTCCCCCCGACATCGGAGGAAGCCCTTTGAGAGCTCCGAAGGCAAAAAGGCAGGGAGAAAGGGCGGGAAATTTGAATTTCCAGCCCTTTCTCCCTGCCTTTTTGCAGGCAGCCATTTATGAATGCCTCCATTGGCAAAAATAAAAAATAAAAAAAATGGCATTGA